GCGTGCGTGCATGCGTGCGTGCGTGCGTGCGTGCGTGCGTGCGTGCGCGTCGTGCGTGCGTGCGTGCGTGTGTGCGTGCGTGCGTGCGTGCGTGCGTGCGTGTGTGCGTATATACGTGTGCGTTACATCATGCACGCATTACATCACATATGTTACATCACACACTTACATCACACGCGTTACATGGTCGTGTGTTGCAGGTTGGAACGAGCTGTTGATCGCCGCGTTCTCTCACCGCTCGATCAGCGTGAAGGACGGCATCCTGCTGTCGACGGGTCTGCACGTCCACCGCAGCAGCGCGCACGGCGCCGGCGTCGGACAGATCTTCGACCGCGTGCTTACCGAGCTCGTCGCGAAGATGCGCGAGATGAAGATGGACAAGGCGGAGCTCGGCTGCCTGCGCTCCGTCATACTGTTCAACCCGGGTGAGTCTAGGTCTCTCCTCTTTCTCTCCTCTATCTCTCTCCTCTGTCTCTCTCCTCTGTCTCTCCTCTGTCTCTCCTCTATCTTTCTCCTCTGTCTCTCTTCTCTGTCTCTCCTCTGACTCTCCTCTGTCTCTCCTCTGTTTCTCCTCTATCTCTCCTCTGTCTCTCTCCTCTGTCTCTCCTCTGTCTCTCCTCTGTCTCTCTCCTCTGTCTCTCCTTTGTCTCTCCTCTATCTCTCTCCTCTGTCTCGGCTCTGTTTCTCCTCTGTCTATCTCCTCTGTCTATCTTCTCTGTCTCTCCTCTATCACTTTTCTTTGTCTCTCCTCTATCTCTCCTCTGTCTTTTCTCTGTCTCTCTCCTGCTCTTACTTCTCCTCCTGTCTCTCCTCTGTCTTCTTCTCCTCTGTCTTCTCTTGTCTCTCTCCTCTGTCTCTCCCTCTGTCTCTCCTCTTGTCTCTCCTCTGGTCTCTCTCTTCTGTCTCTCCTCTGTTCATCTCTCCTCTGTCTCTCCTCTGTCTCTTCCTCTGTCTCGCATCTGTTTCTCTCTGTTGTCTTCCTTTGCTCTCTTCCTCTATCTCTCTCCTTGTCTCTATCCTCTATCTTTATCCTCGGTTCTCTTCTCTGTCATCTCTCATCTATCTCTCCCTCTGTTTCTCCTCTTCTCGGCCTCTTTTTCTCCTCTGTTCTCTCTCTGACTCTCCTCTCTTCTCCTCTGTCTCTCCTCTGTCTATCTCCTTTAGGCTCTCTCCTGTCTTTCTTCCTTATCTCTCTCCTCAGTCTCATCTCTATCTCTCCCCTGTCTCTCCTACTCTCTTCTCTCTCTCATCTCTCTCTCTTTATCTATCTATAGTATTTATCTCTTTGTCTCTATTCCTCACTCTTGCACTCTCGCTCTCTCTTCTCTCTCTCCCCCTCCCCTCCCCCTCCCCCCGCTCCCCCTCCTGCGTTCCCCCTCCTGCGTTCCCCTCTCCCCCCTCTCTCTCTCGCTACGTACTAACACCTAATCATCATCGTTGCAGACGCGAAGGGCCTGAAGAACATCAAGCAGGTGGAGCGACTGCGGGAGATGGTCTACGCTTCGCTCGAGGAGTACTGCCACCAGAAGTTCGGCGACGAGCCGGGCCGCTTCGCGAAGCTGCTTCTCCGGCTGCCCGCGCTGCGCAGCATCGGCCTCAAGTGCCTCGAGCATCTCTTCCTCTTCAAGCTCATTGGCGACACGCCGATCGACACGTTCCTCATGGAGATGCTCGAAGCGCCGCCCCTCAACGAGAGCAACAGCGAGTAGGGGGCGCCGCCGCGGGGGCGATAGGGGGCGCGGCCGCGGGGAGCGGTGGGGTGATAGGGGGCGCCACCGCGAGAAAATTGCGGTAGGCGACAGGTGGCGCCACCGTGCGAAGACAGCGGCAGTGATTAGACGCGTGTGGAGGCGCCCCCTGGTGAGAGAGCGAGAAGGGCATGCCGCGTGTTTGACGGGGCGCGTCGAGAAAAAGATCGTTGAGATTTAGGAAATTCCGGTTCATGTATAGTGTTGCGTGCGTGCGTGCGTGCTTATGCATGCGTGCGTGCGTGCGTGTGCGAGTTTTGTCGGTTTGACTGCCCAAATATTTTATCTAGCTGTGGGAGGAAGCGAAAGCATGGGGACAGCCTGCTCTCTTGTTTGGTATCACGCGTCTCGGCAGTGCATGCCGGACGCATCGCGTCTGCACCGAGCAGCTTTCTAACAGCATCCGTGAACTTTGTTTCGGCTGAATGCACGGCACGGGATGCACATGCGTAGGATGCACACGGGTGAAGGGTGCACGCGCGGTGGGGGATGCACATGAGCATGATTAAAAAGGCTGCACAGACTGGGAGATGCACACAGTAGAAGAAGACTGCACATACATGGTGGGATGCACACGGGAGACGAATGCACGGTCATCGTGGGATGCACTCGCGCACAAGGTAGCCATACGTATTGGAGAAAGGCGCACGCACGCGCGTGGTGTTCGCTGTCGGTTTTATCGGTGTTTTATTCGAAGATGGTTGGCTTCACCATCATTGCAGTTTTCCGTTTTTTTTCTTAATTCGCTTTATTATCTTTTAACGCGTAGTACCGTGCACGAGTGTGGGCGCGATGTGTGTGATACATCAACACGCCCTCAGAACATGCCCCCTCCCCGATCATATATATATATATATATATATATATATATATATATATATATATATATATATATATATATATAAACAGGTGAAGAGGATAAAAACTATGGGAGTTAGCGTATTTCCGGACTTAAGATAATTAAGTCGAATCTAACGTCATGCTCGAGCCTGAGCCAGCATCAGTATATATACGGATTTGTTGTTTTGTTGTTGTTGTAAATATGATGTTTGGATGAAGAATGATGCTTACCAGTAACCGTGTGTGTGACGTGTGTATTGCTAGAAGGACTTCTGATTTCGCGACGCTTGAGCCCGCGCAGTTTTAAAGTAAAATAGAAAAATATAAGTCGGGCCGAGCGATTGAGAGAAAGCGGATTTGTGTATCATCTTGCACTAGTTACATTATATATATATATAAATATAAATATATACATATGACATATTACATATGAGTGCACGTTATATAAGATTATATATAGTATCGTTTCTGATTCATATCTATTGCTGTCGATTCTGTCATTGTGTATTATAACGCGTTCGGATTTCTCACAAAGAGGTGGACGTTTGACTTATTGTACTGTTTTGCATAAGTAGTATGATATGTAAATTACGTATGCATATATGTATATATGTAAGATCATGCTGCATGGTTAGCAGCGTTGCAAATGGCTTCCTAAGCCGTACGGGAGGAGCTAGTGATGTGCCGGGCGAGAATGCTGGCAGGAACAGCGATGTCCCAAAAACTAGTTCACTGACGAAATCGAGAGTTTGCTTTCACTTTAGCCGGAGGACTGGTGTACGGGAGCTAAATATGAATCGGCGACACTGCGTTTCCACAACACACACACACACACTTCGTCATCAAGCCATGCTTATCTATGACCTATTTTACCTATTTCCTACCTGTTGTTACCTATTTTCTGTCTCTACAGACTACGGGTACTAACACGAAATAGTTCATATTGTGACTAGCCTGCCTGCAGACGCACCCGGGTGACGTAAGTGGAATAGAAGAGCTTCACGGTCTGTGCTCACCGACTTCATACTGCTGATGCTGTTTTTCTTATGTTCAGCTTCAAGTACTGCTCCTGTTCAGTAAATAAAATTAGTGTACTCTGAAAACAAGTTGGAAGTATTCCGCGTTGCTTCTACATCCGTCGTGTTGTGATTATAATGCCGTTAACCAACCTTAATTAAGAGATGGTTGATGAGATGATCCTATTCAGGTCGAAGAGCGTGAAAGGGAGAAAGAGAGAGCGCGAAAGGGAGAGAGAGAGCGCGAAAGGGAGAGAGAGAGCATGAAAGAGAGAGAGAGCGCGAAAGGGAGAGAGAGAGCATGAAAGAGAGAGAGAGCGCGAAAGGGAGAGAGAGAGCGTGAAAGGGAGAGAGAGAGCATGAAAGAGAGAGAGCGCGTGCGAGAAAGAGAGAGCGCGTGAAAGGGAGAGAGGGCTAGTGTTAGTTCCAATCAAGGTTCCAATAACCGATTGGCGATCGACTCTAACGCCATCTACCAACAACTATAATTTATATTAAAATTTGCCTGGCTCAAGTGATACTATGCCGTGATTAGAATCCTCAGTATGTCTGAGTTCCATGCAGTAAAGATTTAATAATAATAATAGCTTAGTATAGCGTAGTAGATGTATCTATGCACATGGCTTCCAAGTAATTGCCGGGTTACCTTTGTTCTGAATTTGTTTTTTCAACTGACCGTTTATCAAACGAAATTTGCCATTAAAATATAAATAGCACGGTAACTCCATGACATAATTTTGTTCACTCAGCACTCTATTCTCCTATTTCTGGCCTTTAAAAAAGCCCAAGATCGTTTTTCTAGGTGCTTGCAGGGGCGGATCCAGGATTTTTGAAAGGGGGGGGTGTCTAGGAAGTAAAGGGCACTTTTTCCTGCTTAATTTTTGTGGTGTTTTAAAAAGCTGCCGAAGGCACTTAGGGGGTTTGGGGGACCAACCCCCCAAAAACATTTTTGTTAAATTGGTGCATTCTGAGAGCATCCGGTAGGAGTATCTATCTTGTATTTCTCGTTGCCACTATCCACCGTGTTGCACTGCACCATACGTAAGGTAAACCGCTAGTTACTGCGTATCGTCAGGTGGCGCCCTCGGGTGTCGCGGAGAGACACAAAACGCTACACATCTAACCGGCACAGCATATTTTCTACCTCCTGCTCCACAACACTCGGTATGGAAAGTAGCAGTGGCGTAGACAGGTCCTCAGTTGTGGGGGGGATGATTTCGCTGTTACTTCCATGATCATAATGTATATGAAGAGTGTGCGCGAGTAGCGCACACCGCGAGCGCCTTGGCGCAAAGCCCTTATTGGGTGGGGTCCAGGGGCCCGCCGTAGGGGCCCTGGCGGGGTGCAGGGGCAGGAGCGTCAGTTCTTGCCCGGGGTCCAGGGGGCGGAGCCCCCGGAAGCTCTTGGATTTTAGCAATTTAGAACCTTCAAGATGGTCGTTTTTGAGGTAATTGAAAAAAATTGATATTGTAAGTACAATTTTGTGAATTCGCAGGTAATTTTTTTCTTTGATCCAGAAGCGTTTAATAACACGCCCACCCTCCCCCCCCCCACACACACACAACCAGTGGCGGTCCGAGAAGTTGAATTTTAGGGGCGGCGGGCGAATCGTGCGAGCTCAAGGGCCCACGAGCGCGCATGTTGTGGATTTTTAAAAAGTTGCAATCTAAAAGCAATCAATTTTGGAAAATTTTGTTGAAAGTAACACCGGCTTCGATGCAATTTCCTGCACTATGAGCCCAGCACTATTAAACAATCTTCATCACAATAACATCACTGTTGAGTGAGTATTTTTACCTTTGGGCGACACCAAAGACTAAAATGCTTACTTACAAATCTGTGCTATGTAGAGGGTTGCCAGTGCAGACTTAACCTAGGGCTAAAATACATTTACCCTAAAAATTCTAGGGGGGCGACACCCCCTTGCTACCGACCCCCCGCTTTGGACAACTACAGCACTGGAATCATCTCCCTGCAAATTTTGATAAAACGTATATTTTACATGCAGAGTGAGGAACCTAAAACTGCAAAAGAATATGAGAAAAACAACCAGATTTGAACCAATAGTGCATATTTTCACGCCTTATACAAAATTGAATATACTTCACGCGTCGGTCTCAGCATACCTCATCCCCCTCCAAATAGTGCAGATGAATTGAATTTTCACCATTCAACCCCCTGGAACATTCAAATATCCCACTCTCAATAGGTCTTCTAATTGAATAAAGCAATGATTTAACTTTTCGTGAGCGTGATAAGACGGTTTGGGATGGTGAAAAACAAAATCGTATATGGGAATAGCGGTCAAATTAGCGTCTGAGTTTCAGTAAAATCAGATGTATGTCTTGGGAATGAATTACAGCCATTTTACAGTAGATGTATGTCACGGTAGTCATTTCTGTAATAATACAATTAGGAGAGTATGAATAGCGGACGGATTGCTAATAAATATCAGTATTATTGTCTGTAAAATATTATTTTTTTCCCCATTTTCTTCCTGAAAGTAGGCGGGATCTAAGCCACCAACCTCAATAAGTGTGGGGGATATACCCCCATCCCCCCGCTATTTACGCCCCTGTCAGATGAACTCAAATTTGACTTTTGATATGCATACAAATATTCATAATCATAATCTTTGTTAGCAGTACTCTACAGGCGCCGCGGAACGATTTTTGAAGTGGGGGTGCTAAATTAGTTACGCTCGACAGTGGCCAATGCAGGATTTCGAGGAGGGTGGTAAGAAACAGGCGGGGGTATGCGGGTCCTCCCCCAGAAAATTTTGAATCCTCCATTTTCCTCCTGAAAGTAGGGGGGATGATTGTATACGCCATCCCCCCAAGTCAATAAGTGGGGGGTTGCATCCCCCCATCCCCCCCGCTATCTACGCCCCTGGAAAGTAGAGAGACTTAAAACATTTCATATTTACGAGGTAAGCATTCTCCGTAGCGTCATGATAAAGTTATTAGTTAGCACTAGTATAGGTAATGCATGACACCTGCTCAGGCAACTAGTGTTAAGCCTATATAACTTATAATATAGTCAGGACCCTTAGTTTCATGATCGTTACAGAGCTGACAAAAGCATCAAACTTTGAACAGTTGTAGCCTATGGGAGTACTATAAATATTAGAAGGGGTGCCCAATGTAGATATTCCTCAGAAGTGAAATACAGATGATTAATGTTCGAACCGCGCCCGCCTGTACTGGCGCATTGTATACAGCTGTTATCCCCCCCCCCCTCCGCGCGCATACGCTATTGCGTTATAGGCGGCATGAACGTGTATTAACTCTCATATCTCGCGAACGATTTGAGTTACATTTTCTAAGATTCTAGATACATATGAACACATGTCTTAGCTATGTTCTCTGTGAATTTTAAGTTTATTAAAGCACGAATAGTTTAATTAATTACCAAAAATATACGCAAGGTATCGTCATAGGATAATATATACGCGCGGCTATGGCCCGTAGGATAGTGTACTAACTCTAATATCTCGCGAACGATTTGAGTTACAATTTCTAAAATTCTAAATACCTATAAAAACATGTCTTAGCTATAATCACCGTAGATTTGAGTTTATTGAAGCACGAATAGTTTAATTAATTACCAAAAATATGCGCACGGTATCGCTCACAGGCTGATATAATTATACGCGCGGCTATGGCCCGTAGAATAGTGTACTAACTCTAATATCTCGGAATAATTTGAGTTACATTTCTTAACCTATAAACACATGTCTTAGCTATAACCTCTGTGAATATTGAGTTTATTGACGCACGCGTAGTCAATATATTAGCAATTATATGCGCGCGGAAGTGAACGTACGTGAAACATATACGGTTAGTACTTTCTGTGACATATCCGTGACTAACTGACACCACTAAATTGGTCAAATGTTCCATGCACCTTAAGAAATTCTGAGAAATTACGAGGTTATTATCGCAGAACTCCCGACACCGCCCATCCTGATGTCACAAAGCTATATGTTAAACAAACACGCGTGTTGCGAG